CCACTAAGTTGCCTGCAAGTTCAAGACTATTTCATGAATTGTTTGGATTGATTCAATAAAAAGAACCAGTTCAAGAGTCATTTGTTCCAGAATCAGAAATCACTGCAGTGTTTTTTTTATCATGCTTTTAATTTTTTTTTTTTAAGTGGTGTGAATGCCATTTCAGAGAGTAAATTATTTATTTTATTTTATTTTATTTTATTTTTTTGTGCTTTGAAAAATATTTTTTCCACAGTCAGGAGCCTTATAATTGTTTTTATAAGAATCTAGTGAGAATCTAGTGCTTTAATTATGAACCATTCATCATTTTACCTGAGAACTTTTTTGATCCAATGAAACAACAGGAAATGTGATTGCGAACATGAAGCCACTACAACACATCAATAACTGGACTGCCGCCAACTGACAGGCCTGACTGACGACACAACACAATGACAGCCACCTTTCCATCTGACAAAACCGAGGGGGAAAAACAGACAGTGCTCCGGGAGGATGCCGCTCTTCTCCAAGACCCTGGCCGGGCGAGAAAGCCATTATCCATCAGCGGATGATTCTAACCCTGACAGCTTCAGACCCAACGGGCTACCCCGAGGAACTTGCCTCTGTTTGAATAATTAAGCCCACTTACAGTTCTCTAACGGATGACTATTTGTAGCCTTTACTTTCACACCTTATCAGTCACTTGTGTGTCAGGGCTTTATACAATCTGCCCGCCTCCAACTCCTGGTGGCATCATTTGAAATGCAAAGCATGGCCTTCGCTGAGCCTGGGTCTTGCTCTTGCGTCCCTCCACCCCAGCTACTTCTGCAGCTTGTCACCACAGCTAGTGCCCTCATTCTGTGTTCTGGCAATCCATCAGGCTTTGACTAACTTCTGTCCAACTATTTGACATCTGGGAGATGGATGGTGTCAGTGCCTGCCGTTGCCAGTACTTCCTCCTGTTAGCATGTTAGCCAATGCTAGCTTGTTTTTTCCCCTTAGAATAATAAACAGAGGCTTGCCTTGTAAATAACACAAACTGGAAGAGAAGGTCAACTATCGGTTAATATTAGGCATTTCTTTAAACAAGATACGGTTATTAACGTGACATGATGTGGCTGAGCAACATACATTCCAACGATTGTTCGCAAAAGCTTAACGAAAACAAAGAGATCAATGTCTGTCTACAAGGACTCTTTTTCTGCTTCCAAAGCACTTAGTGTATCCATTTTCTCTGAGTAGCCACTGTTGAACAGAGCTTCGCAAATGAATAGAGCTATTTTTGCTTGAGCTCTATGCAAATAAATAGGGGTGCTACGATTGATCGGCTACCGATCACTATCGGCCGATAATCACGTTGGGATGTTTGATCGGCGGTCTCTAAAAAGGCCGATCTCAAAAAAACGATCTCAAGCTGATGACGCTGCCATGAGGTTTGGCATGACATGCAGCGTCACTGTCTCAGTCTCTGTCCGGTGTGGGTGAAATCATTATAATGCTGAAGGTGAGGTACACACCTTCATATTTCTTCATTAGATAACTTATAAAGTAATTTGAAAACCTTGTGTGAGACGTATTTTCATAAACAGTGAGAGTGAATCACTGTGCGCGTACACGCTCTCAAAATACGCAAATGTCTTCAAATCACCACATCGCATCTGTCTATAAGCGAGCTGCACGCTGCACAGTTGACACAGGAATTGTCACTTGCAGAATCGCGGTAGTGTCACATCGTCACTAAAGTTTATAAATTGCATTACTTTTTAATTCTTGCCAGTGTTTAACCATTCAGCGCTCGCGCGCTCTCCTGGAGACCGTGCACTCATGCACACTCGCAGCGCACACACATAATGCCAGGTTCACATTACTCCGTTTGCGGTGCGTATTTTTTCTGCGCTCATGTTAATGGATTAATAAAGCATGCACACTGCGCACAGTTGCTGTCCAGCAGTGCGTTCCACGAGCGGTACGTCTGCAGCAGTGCAGAGATCGTTTCTGCACTGAGTCTATTTTTACTGGGCTGCAAGCGCTGAATTAAAGTAACAGCGCATTTTTTGCAGTAAATATGAACATGGATTGACACGAAAATGTAGCAATTACACCATAAATGCATATTATTAAAGTCTACTGTGTTTCTTCTCCTCTCACAAGAGTCACCTAAGAGGGGAAATTCCCCCCATTTTCAAAAATGAAATTCAGGCCCTGAATAAATGTCTAAAAATCCTGATTGGAGTATCACTATAAATAGTTATAAATGATAAAAAAGAAGGCTTTAAAAAGATTGGTAACGGTGATCGGTATCGGCAGATGCTGCTTTCTGTGATCAGCCTCAAAAATCCTGATCGGAGCACCCCTACAAATAAACTCTGGCAAGCTGCTGAACAATTGCTTTTTTTCCAACACTCATAACACTGATTCTTGTAACTGTGAGGAGCGGATCTCTGGAAAAGCAGGAAGGAGTGAAGCCACAAGTGCCACGAAATGAGTTGAAGAGAGGAAGGGACGAAGAAAGAAAACGTTATGGGATAGTTCATCCAAAATGAGGGTGAGTAAATGATGACCGAAATTTTATGTTGCTCCAAACCTGTATGACTTTCTTTTTTTCTGTGAAACACAAAAGTAGAAGTCAATGGGGTCATTGTACCAAGTTGACATTCATAGTATATTTTTCAAAATAGCTTATTTTGTGTTCTATAGAGTAAAGAAAATAACTGATGACAAAATGTTCATTTTTGGTTAAACTGTCCCTTTAAGAGTTGACTGTTCACAAAAGAGAGTTTTAGAAGTTTGACATTTTAAAAGTTAGTGGCGTCCCAAACACATGGCACCAAGACTCGTCACAACATTCAAAAGCATCCGCTTAGCTTGTGTTTACGTAGGAAAACAATTAAAATACTGTTCCAACGGATGCAAGAGTGTGTCGTGCAAATGCCCGCTTAAAGGAAGAGGAAGAGAGAAAAGAGAGGAAGAAATGAAAGACACACAATCCTCCATCAGGCATCTGATGAATGAGACGGTCAAAACACACATTTTCATGGCCCTCCTTAGGTTACCCCACTCAATTTTTAATGCAAGACATTTTAGACTTTATCCCGTATGCATGAGCGTCTGTTTGTGTGCGTATCCGTATATAAATAGTGCGGATTTTATAACGGAACACGGTATAAGGTGGTGTAAAAACAGGAGCTTTTGAAGGCATCAGGGTCACAATGCCTTGGCCGAGCCCCTGAGGGGAGGAAGAGAAAGAAAAGATAAAGAAAAAGACAGCGAGAGCGAGAGCTGCAACATGAGCTGTATACTCTTGGAAAGATCAGTCCTCCATATTAAAAAGACCCCTGTCACTCACAGGCCTTCAGCCCCAGATACCGTGCAATGCATTATTGTTTCTCAGGCAGAAGGGGAAAACACACCAGTATTTTTCAGTCTGGTTGGTGCTCGGGGGGAAAATCTGAACAGGCAATTTAATATCGGGAGGATCGCTAAGAGGAAGTGCTGATGCGGCAGTCTCATGCTCATTTTATTTAGATTAACTACAGTGGTAATATCACAGCCAGTCATGCCAGGAGCGACGCACAACTCATAAAGTGACAATGGAAGGGGGCAGGAATCTAACTGGGTGACAGGGTTTGTTTGTTGCCGGTTCGGAGAGAAACACGCAACATTGTTTTTGAGGAATGTAAGATGGCTTTGTGAACAGCGATTAATTCTCTGGAAAAGCATTCAAGACTTTCTGAGAGTTCAGCGGTGCATGCAAATTTCACTTTTATTTATTTCTTTATTTTTTGCTTTGAGTGAGTAAAAATTCCTGAATGCTTAATAGGTTAAAAAAGGGTGGAATTGTAAAAAAGACATAAAACGCATCCTTTTATTATGCTTAATGTGTGCCAAATAGCCCATATTACATAGAAGCCCCATCAACTTTCTCCTTTGCTCCCTTTCTGCCTTTTGAAATGGCTTTCAGCTTTGCAACAACCTCTCAGCGTGAAGCAGCCTTGCCCATTTTAGCTTTTGATAACATAATAGTGTTCTGAAGCACCCTTTACGTGATAACTTAATGATGCAGACGTGTATGTGCACCACATAAAAGCTATCCAAACCTTCCGGAGATATCTGTTAAATCATTACTGGTCTGCACACTTGATAATCTATAGATGTGGAGGTGACCCAGATTGGCAGAAAAAAAAGGGTGGACGGCCACTTCAACCACACAAAACCAAGAGGTTTTGTCCTCTCCCTCAGATCCTAATCATGTGTCATCATGTGACAGCCAAAAAAACAACGCTTAGCACCATTAGTGACAGTGATGGCACTGGGAGTGTTTTAGTTATAATCGCAGAGTATATCAGAGGCAGCTGTAATTGCGTTTCCGGTTCGGACACTTCCTAAATAACCCTGGGCTTCCATTGTTTGTTTTCTGTCGGGGTCACTTGAAAGGACCGGAGAGGGACCGGGCGACGGGCTGAACCTCCTCCGGACACAGTATCGTTTGCGAGTGATTGGTTTGGCTCAGTGCATAATGGAAAAAGAAGGAGAGGAGAAGAAAGAGAGCGGGCTGTTTCTGAGAGCAAGGCTGGAGTGCTAGTTATCATTTAATTCCAGTGTCAATGTGCATAAGGCTATAAATTAAGAGCCCACAAATCAAATGACTAACAGGGATTCCAATTATTGTGCCAAGGATTTTTTGCCCCCACATTTAATCCATCATTATTATCTCCGCCCAATAAGCATGTTTCGTTTTTACACTGCTTTTCTTTTATTAATCATTCGTCGTCTGATTTGTATTTTTCAGCATGGTTTGTTTTGTTATTGCATTGCTTTGCTGTAATTCGGATGAATTACCTCGCGTTGGGATAATTCAATGCTTGGGCACTCAGTCAAACAATTGGAACAAGGATTTTCTAGGTAAAATAATAATAACTTATTAATTGCTTCATTGTCCTTTCTTCTGTCTCGCGTAAGGTTAATCAGCAGCACTCTAATACATGCCAACAGATGTGTGCAAATGAAAATAAAGTACTCACGTTCACACGCATCTCCCTTCTGGTGAAATCCAGCTTTGCATATACATTTCCCAATGGGTACCAGCCACTCTCCTTCAGCGCTGCAGTGCATTTTGGGAGAGTTGTCAGCCTCCTCCTCTGCGTCACTGACGCATGTGCCCTCCACTTCCACCAGCGACGAGAACTCAGATCCCGTCACCGTATCTGGGAACGTGGCCAGGTTTTCAATAATCGACCAACACTTCTTGTAATACACTTTGACGGAGACCAAAGCGATGCAGGCACCTACATCCTGAAAGGCCAGGTAGAAGCCTCGGCGGGAGAGGGGCCCGATTATACGCACCTCCGTGTTGAGCTTCATTTTTCTTTCCCCCAGGTCACCCTGAGTGAAACTCTCGTCCGCGGCTATAGTGTCAATTTTCACATACTGACTCTCCCTTATATTCCTGCCCACCTCCACGTCGGTTTCCTGGTAGTACAAGTTGAACGTCTCCTTGCAAGAGCCTACCACCCCTGGAAGGCTGTTACAATCCCTCAAGGTAAACTTCAGCTCCACAAAAATCCTCTGGGCATCGCCCTTCTCAATCCAGTTAGTCCGTAGCCAATTGTTCTGATTTGGCTCCATGACCTGGCAGACCTGGTATGTGCGAATGGGAGTGTAGTTTTCATCCAAGCCGCTGATCTCTTCCCACTGAGAAAAAGTAAAACGCAGTTAATCATCATTATATCGTGTGCTGTACTAAAATGCTCAGAACTAACCGCAAGGGAGAATCTTAGAGCGTGTTAAAACTGGCCTCTGTGTGAACAAATGCACAACTCCTTGCTATAAGATGATCTACATTAATTCATCTGCAGCCAGGTGATTCATTTTTTACATCTTTTGCATAAGCTGAGAATTTGAAATGTCTGTCTTGTTGAGCGTATTAGCCTAAAATATTTATTTTTATTGATCTGCAATTATATGCGCAGTTCTGATAATTGTTGGTATCTGTAAACCCATACAAACACTTATAAGCACATTAAAAAAGAACCAAATAAATGTATTGCAAAAATTACCTCATGCCCAATAGTAACAATGTACACTACCAGTCAGAATGTTTCCATTTATAAACTCCATTATAAAAATGTTCATCTGAAAAAAGTGTGCTAATGTGTGATAACATCAGAATTAACTGCTTTTAATTCAGTAAAAAACATTATTTTATTTGACTTAACCTGACTGCTTTAGGTTACACCGGCAAAAGTAATTGTCTGGGCTTCTTTTAAACAACTTTTACCTGGGCTTAAATTCCATTTATGCTGGACACATGTTAGTTGGGTTTCTGTTATTATTTCTTTTAATTCATTAAAAAAGTTTTTAATTTATACAAACACACAATACTTTGACCTCAATGACTGCAAGTTTAAAACTCATAAAAGTGAGCAGAACTGACAGAAATTCTGACAAGTTAAATGAATAAAACCAAATATATTGTTACAAAGATGAAAACATTTTTAAAGTAAAATAAGATTCAGTGCACCCAAATCGCATGACTAACAACATAAAATCTCCATTCTAAACTTTTTAATTGCTGTTACTTTTTTTAGTTATGACTTTTCAGAATTATTTTGTGTTCTAATTAATTGTTAAAAACACCTAAGACGTACAAAAACAACAAAACATCATAATTAGGAATGTAACAAGTTAATATGTTGAGTTCAGCAGAAAATCACTTTGTTGGCCTTAGTTGAACGACTTTAAAACAAACGCGTCTGTATTTTACGCCTTCTTTAAACCTTTTATAAAAACTAGCGTAGGATCGACAAACAACTTTTAAAAGAAACAAAACCACCTCCGCTTAAAGTAAAACCAAATTATCAATTGTTTAGCGTTTTCTCAATTGAAAAAAAGAACAACACGTTATGCCACCACATAATTTTAGGTTGCACTCAAAATACTGCGAGCAGTAAGCGCATTACAGAAGAGGTGAAAATCAGAAATGTTTGCTGTAAAGTAGAAGTTGTAAAGTTTCCAGCTTACCCCGCTTGGAGGAGACGATATCCATTCCAGCTCTGTCTGCTGCGCCTTTGAATCCAGCAGGGTCACTGCCGACGACACATAAAGCGCACACTTACAATAATGCATCTTTAATTGTGATTAATGTTTGCCACACATCTCGCTCATATTCCAGAAGCATTTTACATCGCGAGCGAGCGCAGATACAAACCAAATGTGAGAGAGCGCGCGAGTTTGACCTATTTTCAGCAGACAGCGGTGGAGATTTATGTCAATAAGCACCTCGCACCTCTGAAACCTGTGCGACACCTGTTCATGTGTCAATATAACCGAGGGGCACGCTTTCGCTTTTGGTGTAGATCGAGAAATCGGTCAAGTTCCTTCGTTTGAACCGTGAGAATATTACGCGGATACGCGCGCGCAGCGCAGGTTAAGAACGACTTCATCGCGTGCGAAATTAATCACTGGTTTGTTATTTATATGCATTTCGTTGAAGCGTTATCTGTTTTTTGTCTGGTCATATTACTAAAGGGAGTTGGTTAAATAATAAAATAAATAATTAGATTAAATATTGTAAATAAAAAAGGGGCATTCGCTGAGATCAGAGCCTTAATTTAAAGAATAAATAACATCAATTTGGTAAATAAATTCGTCATTGAGTATGTTCAGTAATTAATAAACCTCTAAGTGAACTACAGCAAACAGCCATAAGATCAACTGGATCTATTTATACAGAATTGAATGATTATTTAATTTCATATTTCAGAAAGGAGGCACATACCTTTGGCTTAGGCTATATGTAGCTAATATAGTCGATGTTGATGTGTGATATACATATTTGCAGTGCAGACATGTATGGTAGAAACACACTGCTCTTTATACTAAATCTGTACTCGACAATTTGGTAATACAGAAGCACTTCTATTGCTTAATTGTTGCAGGGGGGTTCTATCCCGGACAAATCCTTTACTACTACTAACTGAAGCTGATCCCATGAGTATTTTAAAATAATAAGCGTGATACATGTTGCAGTCAAGTTGCAGAATTGACTGTATACCTACTGCCCGGTTGGTTAACAAAGGCACATCAAGCAGATCTTTTTTTCAAGTTTGGTGTTGATGTTGTCTCTTTGCAGTAAATGGAAAGCACGTAGTGTTTTCCGATAAAATGAGAACGTGATAATGAGGAGATACAGGGCTGTGAGGACTAAGCTTAACCAGATAATATTGTCAACGATGTTTAGTTGCGATGTGCAGTTGCAACTCGTCTTCGTGTCTGATTAGCGAAAGTCTGTGCGCCAAGAAAATACGTACTCATGATATGAAACACAGTCAGGCGTATATCGTTGTCTTATGTGTGATAATAAAAAAGGCTGTCTGTCTGTCTGTCAGACTGTCGATAATGTATCTGCTCTAACTACTGATTTGCTCGTTCTCGCGCTCGGGCTGTCAGGATGCAATGAAGGAAACTTTAGCACTCACCCTCTCTTGTGCTCTGTGCTATTCCAGTGTTCACATAAAAACATAAATGAAGGCAAAATATAGTCCACAAACACGAAACTGAGGTGCAAACCATGGTGCAGTTGAAAGTTGGATAAACAGTGTGCGCTTTTTCCAACGCGGCGTTCCCTTCCCATTGACGACGCTCCGGCAACCAGCTCTGGGTGAATAAAACAGTCGTCTCTCACTCAAATAGCATCGGCAGCCGAGAGGCGGGGCTTAGAGCATTCGGCGTGTCACTCATTTTGACTGACAGAGAGCACACCCACATTTGGCGCGCGAAAGGCTCTCGGTGGAAAAACGCGGACGAATCATCTTGAAGCGAAGGCGGATCCTCAATTTCAGTCTAAAACCGACAATGGATACACAAACTTTAAGATGAAATACTTTGTTGGACACTGTAGAAAATCGTTTTATATTAAGAAAAATACATAATATTTTAATGTCCGGATCGAAATACTGTACTGGAAGTTAATACTTAAAACGCTATGGGTTAAATGAAAAGTGAAAACAGTGAGTAGGCCTACATCAAAACAAACTTTTGAGAACTGGTGAGATACCTTTCTCTGCAACACCACTTGCACGGAAGCCTACTCTATCAAGATAAGACTTGAACCTTGGGTAGGGCAGGCAAGCATGTCAGGACATCCGAGGAAAAGTTTATATTTTTCCCAAGTCATTGAAGAGCATTGCATCATCAGCAGATAAATACTTAGCAAACCTCATCATGGTGCCTGTCGTGTCTGGCAGCTCTTTTTGAAACACATACTACTCATAGCTTGCAATGTTAAGACTTTGTTTAGTCACTAACCTAATGGCACCTTACATCAATAAAAATGATTTTTTGTCAAGCAGAAATATTTTTTTTCTTTTTCTTTCTTTCTTTCTTTCTTATGTATTTATTTATTTTCAATTTTCCAGAGAATTCACATCTCACGTAAAAATGTAAGCTATTTGTGTACCTGAAAACATTATATTTGCTTTTATGTTTGCTTGTATTTCTAGACACTCACTATTAAGGATTTTAAATAATTAGTTGACAAAACCAGGGTTTGTGTACAAATGTACTACAAAAAGGGACAAACATTAAGTTAAAACGATAAACACGTTTACAAATTTAGCACAATTCATGACCTAGTTGTTTATATCTGTGTATAATTACGCAGATATACAGTGGGTACGGAAAGTATTCAGACCCCCTTAAATTTTTCACTCTTTGTTATATTGCAGCCATTTGCTAAAATCATTTAAGTTAATTTTTTTTCCTCATTAATGTACACACAGCACCCCATATTGACAGAAAAACACAGAATTGTTGACATTTTTGCAGATATATTAAAAAAGAAAAACTGAAATATCAAATGGTCCTAAGTATTCAGACCCTTTGATCAGTATTTATGCTTCTACTAAATACTGAGCAAAGGGTCTGAATACTTAGGACCATGTGATATTTCAGTTTTTCTTTTTTAATAAATCATGTCAATAAATCATTGACATAAAAATGTCAACAATTCTGTGTTTTTCTGTCAATATGGGGTGCTGTGTGTACATTAATGAGGAAAAAAAATTAACTTAAATGATTTTAGCAAATGGCTGCAATATAACAAAGAGTGAAAAATTTAAGGGGGTCTGAATACTTTCCGTACCCACTGTATAATTAGTATCAGTGTATAATTAGTATAATTATAGAAATTAAAAATAAATAAATCTAAGAGTAAAAATAAAGTTGACAATAAACACAGAAAGTAAGGAATAAGTACAATTAATCAGTATTTAGTTAGTATTAGTATTTATTCAGTATTTATTGATGTCAGTTAGTATTTGTTTTATCAAGTAATTTATTCCTTTATTATTTATTTATTCATTCAGGCCTCATATTCCAAGACATTTATGACTGACAGACAACAAGGATTTTTCACAAGTGTTATTTCTTTGACAAATATACACAGTGTTTTCTGAAAATAAAAGTGAAACTCTTGTTTATTGGCCAGTGAAGGGCAGGAGGTCTGTTGAGTAGGTATAAAGACATCGAGACAGATAAACATTGACTGCTGTGTTTTTTAGAAGGTCACCTAATGAAGGAAAGTGCCCTGCTGATTCTGGGCAATGGGTGTGGATGCATTGATTCATTAGAATTGTGCGTTAGAAACGTTCACCATGAAGATTGAGCTGCTGGGGTTTTAAGCGGCGCCAAGGAATCGAGATAAACATAAAACACAATTAAAAAGTGTAAAGTTAATTTCCTGCTGCTCAGATGACTTGCCAAAACACTGATAAATGAAAGCATGAAAGGGACCTCATTACCCCCTGAACGTATAATGCATTTGTTACAGGTCACTTATGAATCTCCATTTCCTAGAATGAGTAAAACAACTGTAATTATGCCCCCCAAATATTGATTAATAAACTCTGTGCATCACAAATGGATGGAGGTAGACAAGGACTCATTTCAAGGTTTATTTACCTCCGTTTTCTTATTTTATTTTTTTATTTTTGGCCTGTTTATTATGCAAATGATTTATAATCCTCTTTACCCTTGATGCACGCTCCTGTGTTGCACATTTCCATGTTGCTTATTATTGGCTTATTAAACCTGCTTCAATTAGTAATGTTTTGGATGGACATACTTAAGTAGCCTATATCTTAAACTAGTTCAAATCAACCCACATGGGTGTGAAAACGACAAGATATTGAGCGTTTGTTTTGCTCTTATGAATATCATCGTCTGAGCTGGATTAAACCGAGCCATGTACGCATGTATGAATTCATGTTTGAATATTTATCATCAACAAAATGTTCATTAACATTCTCATTCAGCTGAGTCTCGAGTGATAGCGCCAGGCTTTCCAGGTTGTTCACATACTAATTGCACTTTTCTTCATTTTTGTTTAACTCAAGAAGAAGAAAAAAAAAAAAAAATTCTTCACATTGCATTTTAGCTGCCACATTAGTGAGTCCTCATCAGCTTCATGTTGCCATGGCATCAGTTAATTGAATTCTTTTGTTTGAATTGGGATCACACTGTAGTAGTCATGTGGAGATGACGGTTTGCGTAAGCGACGTTACACCTGACTCCACATAGAGCTCTAAGCTGAGCCCTCGCAAAGAGCTAATCATTTTAGAGGATACTTCATTCTGAGTAGGTCTTTAGTGCGTCTTCCCTGAGAAGAATTACCATCCTTCAGTGATAACACTAACCATTATTGTCATTTTACCAAAATTCATTTGAAATGAAATGGCAGAGGTTGAGTGAAGTGTACTAGACTACTAAAGCAATATTTTAGAAATTACCTACATTGTTCAACTGGTGGTCATACACCACTATGAGGTCATACAAATGTTTATTTGGGACTTAAAAGCAATAGTTTTATTCCAAAAACTGTGGCAAACACGATGGCCCTCAAGGGATACCACTTCAAGTGAGCGAATTGACCACATTTATAAATGTCTGCCTGCACTCAAGTGCTTGTAACCAACAAAGAAGGCGTGAAAAAACTAGGACATGACTTGTTCTAGGTGTTCTTATTATGTCTGATCTTTTTGGCATTTATTTGCGGCGTTTTTCACAGCACAAAGAGTTTAGACTAGATCTCTTCATCAGCAGGCAATAACATGCCGTTCTATTCTGTTGTTTTCCTTCAGGACTGCATGCTTTTTAAATAGTTTCTCAGTCAATCTACAGCAGCTGAACAACTGAGCCGAAATAAATGGAGGGCTAGGCCAAAAGTACTATTAAATACTATAATATATATTTTCCACTTGTTTATAATGTGAGTGGAACACCTTCAGAGCGGCAGGCTGTCGGCCTGATCCCTTCGCTTAGGCTGGGTGGAGCACAGCCGGGCTGTCTGGATTCTTTGAGGGCTTGAAGGGAAAACCACCCAGAGATTTAATATCCAGAGGGACTGAAAGCTTGCTGGACGGATGGGCTTGGTGAGCACTCGCGGGAAATTTTTAGTCCTTTTTATAGGTTAGTAATATAGTGTCCCAACAGATCCAGACAAAATCGGGGGTGTTTAATATTACTCAGGGATTGTTGTGGGCTGACTAACATTCACCTTCCATTGTCTGCTGGTGTAATCACAGATCTAGACCTGTACTGGTTATGTGTTGTAAGACATGTTCTAGGAAACTTTTTTTGGCTTCTTAACAGACCTGGCTGTGCAAATTGATGTGATATATAAAGGCAGGGTAGTTTTGGAGTTTGTTAGATTTACATTAAATACATTACATTGATAAAGTGTAACGGTAAAGAATATGACTTTTTTGTTTAATTATTGTTACAAAAAATAAATCAGAAAAATAAATGCCAAATAAATGCTGTTTCTTGCATTTTCCACAAAATTATGAAGCAGCAAAACTGTTTTCAACATTAATAATAATAAGAAATACTACTTGAGCACCAAATCAGCATATTAGAATGACTTCTGAAGCATCGTGTGACACTGAAGCACTGAAGGCTGTTGAAAATTCAGCTTTGCCATCACATGAATAAATTTAAATAAATTCACATATGTGACCCTGGACCACAATACTATAATATATATTTTCCACTTGTTTATAATGTGAGTGGAACACCTTCAGAGCGGCAGGCTGTCGGCCTGATCCCTTCGCTTAGGCTGGGTGGAGCACAGCCGGGCTGTCTGGATTCTTTGAGGGCTTGAAGGGAAAACCACCCAGAGATTTAATATCCAGAGGGACTGAAAGCTTGCTGGACGGATGGGCTTGGTGAGCACTCGCGGGAAATTTTTAGTCCTTTTTATAGGTTAGTAATATAGTGTCCCAACAGATCCAGACAAAATCGGGGGTGTTTAATATTACTCAGGGATTGTTGTGGGCTGACTAACATTCACCTTCCATTGTCTGCTGGTGTAATCACAGATCTAGACCTGTACTGGTTATGTGTTGTAAGACATGTTCTAGGAAACTTTTTTTGGCTTCTTAACAGACCTGGCTGTGCAAATTGATGTGATATATAAAGGCAGGGTAGTTTTGGAGTTTGTTAGATTTACATTAAATACATTACATTGATAAAGTGTAACGGTAAAGAATATGACTTTTTTGTTTAATTATTGTTACAAAAAATAAATCAGAAAAATAAATGCCAAATAAATGCTGTTTCTTGCATTTTCCACAAAATTATGAAGCAGCAAA